TGTTATGGTTAACCGTGTTGTACCATAGCACATTGATGCGTCAACCAACATTTAACTATGATAGTCTCCTTCTCCCCATAATAAATGTTTGGGATCAATTGATTATACAGACTACTGAGTGGTTTGTTCAACGTTAGACACAACTTAATTAGTTCTTGAAAATATTCTTTTAGCATAATTATTTGATTTTATTATAAAACAATATTTTTGCAGACAAATTATATTTTTTCTTTTTTTATTGTTATAACTATTTCTAAATATTGACAACACAAAATTTCAATTTAAAATTTTTAAACATAATATTTTTGTACATCCAAACTTACATGATACATATAATTTCAAATTGAACGAGTAGTTATTTAGTTATAACTGTTAGGTTAGACGTTAGGATAACCTTGATTTAAAATTTGAATAGTGGACCAAACCTTTCACGGTGTACCCTGTACCATTCCATTCAGTTCAGTGAAATTAAATTATTTTATATTATATAATTAACTACTAATTAGAAATCAGATCATTAATATGTCTAATATTTAGGAATACTCCGGAAAAGATTCAGATTCTAAATATTTAAAGTTAAAAAAGTAGATATGCTGTCATAAAGTACAAAAAATATCACATAAATGTATCTAGGACATCTTAAATGTTAAAACCAACTACATACATCTTAAAAATGTATTATTTTATATTGTTATAAGTTATAACTCAGTTAAAAATTAATACACCAATAAAGTAAATAAATAAATAAGTTTTATGTTGTATTGTATTAACTGTGGTACCGGGCCCAGTATGGACCTTTATTATCTAAAATAAAAATAAATAAATACCCAAACACGATATGCCCTAATATATTGTTTACCTTTTAATTTGACAATAAAATTTTGAAACTTACAGCACAAAATGGAATTTACTGAACTCCGAAAATATCAAAAATATCGAACATCTAGATTTTAGACACGGATCAACACACACGTCCACGGTCTACTTAACACTGACAATTTTCAAAAAACGACTAGTGTCTTGCGTTAAAAGTATCACCCTATATATTATGGCCACATCAAATATACGATATGGCCATATATGTATAGGTTCACGTAGTATTATAATAAACGAAGAGTAATATTTCTGTTACAAAATCGTTGTTCGCGGAAACACTGCACACACAAATAGATTATTACTATTCGAGTGTGTGCAACTACGTGCACGTATAACATGTTTATGCGCTTGATATAAAATAATATTATTATTAACATTCAAACGGTGCACAAGTGTTTCCATAAAAATCCAAGCGCAGTGCTCGCGTCATACGACATTACAACGCATATCATATTATATTAGAATAATATTATACACGCGCCCTCCTATTATCTGTGTGTACTTAGCGTACTTGAGCGCATGCCAATCGCGGCCCGTACGCCGTTAATCGCCGTATATACGATTATCGTTATTACAATATATCATCGTAAATAAATATAATATTATGTTTGTGTGTGTGTGTGTGTGTGTGTGATATAATGATTTACGATTTAAGAGTTATGACTAATATTATTGCAGTATGGTCGTTGTCGTCACATGCACACTCACACACACCCGACGGCCCGCTAGCACAGTAAAGCGTAAAGCTTCGGGTTGTTATAGGGAAATATTAACTAAGCCTAGTTGAAAGTTACATTGTTTAAACTACTCACCCTATCGTCTTATTTGTTTTAACTGGAAAACGGTTATGAGTTTTGGTGTAGTTACTGTGGGCTGTGGCTTGACTATGAGAACACCAGCCTTTTCAATGTTTCGAAGTTTTGATCTGCTAGCTGTAAATACCTTCCCTCTTTTTCGCTCGTTTAGCAATAGATTTCCAAAACTGACCAAAATTGTTCTATGTGTTACCTAACCTATCGCTTGATGGTACTGTGATATTGTATATTTTATAATCGATTTTTTTAAGCAATCAATTATGTGGTAAATGGTAATGCACTAATTCTTTATGCAAAAATACTTAAAAAAACATAATAGAGTTGATTTCAATTTTAGTAGAATAACGAAGTTAAATTAAAATTATACAAGGTGATGGTGAATCATACTCATTCCCATTATTCCTTTGATAATGAATTTATTCAAATACTGATTTTTCAAATTTTTAAATATTTCTAGATTTTTAATTTTTTTTGTTCTACTTTAGGAGTATCATGTGCGGATACAAACTTACCCAAAAAAGTTAACTAACCCAAAAACTACTCTAACAAATTTTGATTCTGATAAGTTAAAATGTTCAGAACAATACTTATTTTAAACTTGTGTTCCTGTTCTCATTTGAAGTGTTCTTAGTTTGTATTTTCACATGACACTCCTTAAGTAGTACAAAAAATGTCAACAATTTAAAAATGGGGTCTTTATAAGAACATTTAAAAATTTTGAGAAACTGTATTGCTGTAAAAAAGGGGAGTGAGCATGCTTGGTAAATATCACCTTGTATATAATTAGAAGTATAACCATGTTACTAACTTAAAGTTATTTGTGGATCATTATTAATTTATCAACTAATTCAGTTAAGAGTTATCGAAAAACTTATAAATTATAAATTTGAACTTTCTAACTCGTAATTGCCCAGACTTGTGAAACACTACCCCATACGGATACCGATTATAATTTATAGCAGTTGTAGCTTTGAAGTTTATTATTAATGATAATTTTTAATCGATCTACAAATCAAACTGGGGTTGTTTCCCTGAAAAGTACAGAGCTGCACTGCAATACCAACATTTTATATTTTATTATTATTATATATTATATAGTAATAACGATGATATTAAAATAATATATTTTTGTACTGCCGTTTGAAACGTATGAGCATTATAACAATATATATAGTAATAATAAAATATCACGATTTTCGGACGACGAAAATTCCGACGGAGGGTCGAACGACGACTGTTAACTAATATAATATGTAGATAGCTCTACGTATAATACAATAGTATTTAAGGGGGGGGGGCATTGGGGACATTTACCCCGGGCGGCCGAATATTGATTTATTTAGGGGCTGTAATATTGTATCAATAAATATTTTTTGTTTAGGAAAGAATTTATGCCATGATATGGCCATAATTTGATGGTGTCATATTTTGTAAATCTGCAACGATAACTGATAAGTGCTAACATAGAAATATGGAATATAATTAATATTATTTTAACATAACTTCTATTGTAGATAGACAACCATGACATAACCATGAAGAATGATAACTAAACATTTGTTGAGAAAAATCAAAAAAGTGGATCTGTGTTTTTTTTTTTTGGGGGGGAGAGGGGAGTAAAATATGATTGATCCAGGGCGCAAAAATTGTGAATACAGCACTGGGTAGACGCCATGAGAATTCGATTTCGAAAAAATAAAACAGTGAAAACAATAATAATATAATATTGTCAACGCGGACTTGATGCGAACCTACCCATATAATGGTATGTACGTCACACACATGCCACAGCACGTCTACACGGCACTTCACACGCACTCACACTTGTAAAATCCGTTCAGGTCCGACTGCTCTAATGCACATATTATATATTATAGGTAATATACTTCGTATACTTATCTGGCGGATCTCTTGCGCTTCGTCTTCATCTTTGGAGGTCTGCGCCGCCGCCGCCCGTCTGCAGATCGACCGGCCAGATAATAAACATAGGTACCTATATATATATTTGTGTGTGTAGCTTTATTTTGGCACTGTGTCAATGCGACTTCAGCGTTTATACGTTGTGTGTACGTATATATGTATTGTATACGTATAGGAGACATAACCTACGAGTTACGCGCGCTTATTGTATATATTTTTTTTCTGATTTTTTACTTACCACCAAAAACCGCCGCAGCGCATAAGCCCCGCGGAGGCGACATTATAGCCAGCTGCAGCGGCGGCAAGGTCTCGTATCATCGTGGGCCGCCGAGAGAGGTGATATAATACTATCTTATTTTTTTGGCAATTTGTTCTCCAATTTTTTGGTTTTTTCGCTTTTATAGTCTAACTGACGTGGAATTATTTATATTCATAAAATTAAAACTAAATTGTTGACCCATATTCATCAAAAAATTCAAAATGTATGTTTCATATTTCAAATTTTCCATACGGGATGTATAACTAGCAAACTATAGCAAAGTGTACACGGTGTCTATTATGGGTATACAAATGTTATACGTCCAAACCCCAGAAATAATGATGTAAATAAAAATCACAGACTTAAAATTAATTGAGGATTTTCGAGTACTTACCATATATTGACCGCTCTAATTTTATTCAACTCGACCAGCCAAACTTCAGTGTCTTAAACAATGTGATGATCTTTTATCATGTTGTGCTGCAGTGTAAATTGTTTTTTACCACGTTTGAAAATGTAACAAACAATTGTGATAATAATACCAGCAGAAACGAAACATCAGACAGACACCTAGGTTCGCGAACAACTTACGTTAGGTTTTCTGTTCCTTGTCTATACTTAGGCCAGATTTCTAAATATTGCAAAACATTGTTATAGGCAAGCGCAGGTACAAGGATAAGTAGGACATTGAAAGTTTATAGGTATTAGGTAGTAGGTACAGTATTATAACATTTAACATGACTCCGCTCGTTTGTCTAAATCGTTTAATGTTTCTAAAATAATAATAATAATAATAATAATAATAATAATAATAATAATAATAATAATAATAATAATAATAATAATGATAATAATAATCTAACTAAATATCGTATGTACAAAGCTTTTCTCGGTTTACATCAAACGGTATACACACATTTATATTTATATATGTATAAGTTTATTTACATAATAATAATCGTTTAATATATGATATATATTCTGTAAATCATAATTTAATACATTTTACAAACTATAATAAATTATCTCGTAATATATATATTATATATACTATATACAAATCTGAGTTCTAAACATCGTTTTCTGTACAAGTTCACGTTTTCGACTAGCTCATAAATAATATTCATCTATTTGTATTATATATATATTTTTTGTTTTTTATTATTATTTTTATTTTTTTTTAGTATAAAATATGCGTTTTACATAGATGTAGACGTTGTACGCGCGTTTCAAAAAAAAAAAAATATATAAAATAAAAACTGGTTGTTTCGAGTAAACACTACATCGCCGTCATATAATATGTATAAATGGGCATTATAGGCGAAAAGAGAAATGAACGTTTATACTTCACCTTTGTTTATATATTATATATTTTTTTGTGGTTTTTTCAAGTTTTAAAATAAGGAGGAAAAAAAATCAGAAGACAATACATAATATTATATTCTTGTACAAAAATCCGCGACGGTCATCAAAAGGTTTTATCGATATGCGAAACGAGAAACAATAATAATATTATATATATAGAATTATAATTAAAAATAATAATAATGCTCGACGACATACGAAGACTATATATATACTTATACTTACATACATACATACATACATACATACATACATACATTCATGATACATACATACATAATATGTATACTGGCCATATGTGAGCGCGATTACGCGCGCATGTGTGTGCGTGTGTGTGTGTGAGAGAGAGAGTATTCTTATTTTTTCGGCTTCTCTTTTGACGGGAATATTAATAGGAACTATGAGTATATATGTATATTATTATGTAATATGTATATTATATAATAATGATGATAATAATATTGATAGTAGTAGTAGTAGTAGTAGTAGTAGTAGTAGTAGTAGTAGTAGTAGTAGTAGTAGCATAATAATAATAATAATATTAATATGTAGTACTAATGTTTGTCATTCGCCGACCCTGCTGTGGTTAGAGTGCCCGGGGAACGGCAAATCCAATAATCACGCGTACTCGGATCTCCAACTAGCCTAGATGGACAAACAGAAAGACAAAAACGGTTAACTAAGGTCACAGATATCGAACGAGACGAAATCATTGTAATAATATGTCATACTCTTTTTCCCTTTCTATTGCCAATATTGTAAATTTTTATTTTATTATTATTGACTATTGATCTTTTATCTTAAAGAGGCAACTGTACTATTCGATGTACCTATATTCCATAAGGGCCGCGATTCGCCAAAACGTATGCCAACTCAAATTGTTTCATTAAATATGCATTTATTAGAATAATTTTTGATTTTTGATATTTATAAGTATAGAGGTACTTACAGACCATAGTTTCAGTTAATTTAATTTTAAAATGAGAACCAGCCTTTTATATCCCTGATTGTTTTTAGGAACGGCTTTCTTGAAAATTGATCCTATATTTATTGAGTTACTTGAAAAAAATAAGTTTTTATCCCTACGGGATACTGCTTAAATGGTAACTCATTTAACTATTAAAAAATAAAGTATTTAAAGTAATTAAGTGAAAACACTGTCCCTATATTTGAAAATTGAAGTTTTAACAAACAAGCATTATTATAAAGGGAAAATGGGAGCTTTACAATGCAATAGTATTACATTATTGCAGTCTCAGATTTATTAAACTATTAAGATGGAATATAAAATTAAATTTTTTTAAATCCATTTTCAGAGAATTGTTATTTCAACTTGCCACCTTCCGAATACGAAGCAAAATTCCAAAAAATGTACCTGAGGTTCACAGGTGATTCGAATTTATGTAGTAGTTTCGACTTTCGAGTAAATAGTTTAATAATTATTGTACTTCGGCATGCTTACCATCGCGTTTGACGATGTGGGCAACCCGAGTCCGGTGAGTGACGCCATGTGATGGTGGTGCGGGTGTATGGGTGCGGTGGGTGCAGCTGGCTGCGTGGCCTGGTGATGGTGATGGTGGTACATGGCCGCGGCCGCAGCGGCCGCGTGGTGATGGTAGTGGCTCATTGCCGCAGGGTGCGGGTGCAGAGCAGCGGATGCCGGGTGGTGGTAACCCGCGCCGGTGCCGTCGCCGCGCATCATGCCGGACAGCGACAGACAAGCACCGCCGCCTCCACCACCGCCACCACCGATGCCCCCTCCAATTCCGCCACCTAGACCACCGACTATCGAACCCTTCTTCTTCTTAGACTTCGACGACAGCTTCCGGTTTCGTGTCTGTATTCCTTCCTTTTTCATCGTCAATGGCCGGTTAACCTGCAGCATGAAAATAGAGAAATGTCAATCATTGATAATAATTTTAGAACAATAAAAATCGTCATCTATTTGCACAATATCAGTTGTTTACAGATTATAAATGGAGGATATACCCATTCAAATAGCACCCACTAAAATATTTAATATTGTTTACAAAAATAAGTATAACAATAAACTGAAATTAATCTGACGGACGGTTTGGCTTGGCCCCAAATTTGGATGTGCGTATTGCACCAAATGAGAGCTAAATATAATGCTTTGTAAATGATGAGTACTTATTTTATTTTTGAAACTAAGTTTGGATTTGAATGTGGATACTTTAAAATTATATTTCTAACAGACAATATTATACATTCTCGACGGTCGAGCTATACTGTACAATATAATAATATATTGAATTCCCGATTTTAGGAGCAGTTATATAATATAATAAGCAGTGCTTCGGTAAGCAGTACTCGCCGCTGTCTTTCGTCACCGAGCCCACAACAGTGATGCACTTATAAATCCGATGCCTCGTCGCAGTTCTATAATATACGCACCAGAACGTATAAGTATTATTGTAAAATAATAATATGATTATATTATTATATAGAACGTCGCGCGTCACACATGATATCTGCGCACAAAGTCCTGAGATTGAGGCTAATTCGCATAATCCAATATAATAACGGATTCGATACGCGCCGCCGAACGCTTTGCCCGGCCCCGGTACAATGGTAATCGATTTGCGGAAGAAACGCCGGAATAAAGAGCAGGACGGTCGCATTATCGTGTCAAACGAAATACCGTCGACGACACAATACCAGCGTTTATATAAAAAAAAAAACCTATATAGAGTATCAATCTTCATATTATTATTATTTGTATAATATATTATTATTATTATTGTTGTTGCTGCTGCTGCTGGTTGGGCCCCGGTGGTGTATACACATATTATATCGGTCTTTTGTGCACGCGTATACTGTTTCGTAGCCGCCGATAATAGGTTTTTTATTGTTGCGGCAGCAGTGCACATCGTCGCTGCATCAGCTGCCGCCGGCCTAGCCGGTATACGCCCATCCCCATTGATACGCACTTAAAAACGTTGTACCATATAATCCTCCGAGATCGTCGTATAATGCTAAAATGTATATATTTTCTCCTCGGAGGCACCCTCTCGGAAAACGACCCTCGACACACGATAAACATAATAATATATACGACGCGCGTGTGTATATAGAGGGACTTCAGCGATTTGGCGACACGCATGTACAGTGTACACGTATAATGTATATGTATATACCTACTACGTACCGAATAAGTGTTTTTGTAAAACATCTCTACAATGTGTGCGTACACACACGACACGAATTTCGATACGGGGATGAGGTTGGGGTTGGGGTTAGGGGTTGTGTCTCACGCAAACCGCGAAATCCTAGCAGTGTTATGTATACGGCAGTGTCGGCCGCGGCGCCGCCGGCGGCGAGAGATCGCTCGCGGAAAAACCGTCTCGGAAACGATCTACGCCCCCGCGAAAATCGGCGAGATAAGCTCACCACTACCTAGGTATATAAATGGATTTATACCCCCGTGGCTTTACCTTTCGGCGCACTATAATATAATATATGGGCGCGGCAGTGACGATGACGGTACGCGATTGCGTAAACGATTGTCGTCGTCGACGGAAACGGTTCTATATATAATATTATGTTTCTTTTTTCTTTCTCCCGAGGCCCGCCGGGCACAATGGAAAGCCGTCGGGGTCGCCGAAAACGGCGGTCGTACACCTCTTCTCTACGCCGCGTACACGGAGAGCGGTTAACGATAATAATATGAAATTATTATCATCATCATTATTATTATTATTTTCGACGACCGATGAGGTCGTATACGATTATATACCTATATTATGGACCACGCGAGAGGAGAGAAAAATAACTATATACCGATGCGCACGAGGTGTTGACCCGCGGTAGGGGATTTGGGTGCACTACATAATTTGACTTTTCGTTTACGTTGTATAATAATTAGTCATTAGCGGTTTGCGCACCGTCGACCGATGTGGCGGCACCCGCGGAGCGCCATCGCGACCCATTGTCTCGGGCGCGGTTTGTATATTATAATATTATTGTTGTGCGCGCCTATCCTCTTCAACAGCGGTACCGTTCGTCATTGTTACGATATATTTAGCTGGATATTATTATATTATTTACGACGATCTCTCGCTGGCCGCCGTCGACCGACGGAATTGATTTTCTAATCGAAGGCTGAACTATGATACACCTCGAGTATATAGACATGTAGGTAATATAATATAGTATTATCTTATATTATAATATCACTCCAGAGGACTAAAACCGATACGACTAAAACGACGTCGGCACATGACGATCTGGTGTGTGAAACGAAATCGAATCGAAAAGAGCTGCCAGTGGCATGTCATTTCCTGCAGCAAAGTTTTCGGCTTTTCATCAGGTATGGCCACCGACGTATTCTGTGAGCTGCATTTTACTACTCGATCTTAGGTACATAATTGACACATTGGCTGCATTATCTTTACGAAAATTGTGGTGATAGGATTCTCTGACCTACAGTTGTCCACGACTATCGCGCACGGGACTGCAGTGGCGCTAAGGCGGCGGCGGGAGAGACAAGTCATCCACAGAAAATGTACCCAACAAACAACGAGCCGTGACGTGGAATAATGAGTATCGATGATATCGTATATTTTATTATTATAGGTATGTATGTATACAGGTAGGCTGCGCAGTACCGGCCATGTGTAATACTATATAATATATAAATCCGAGGAATTCGACTCCGAATATCGTAGCTGCGGCGACCCGTGACGACGAGACGGTTTATTTAACATTGTTTTAACATTAAAACGCCGGTCGACGACGATATTAAATTAATATATTCGAGACCACCCCTCGTACGGCGTGTTACATACGTGCACACAACGACGAAAAAATCACAAACTGACCGTGAATAATGTTTTATCGGAATAATAATTTAATAATCAACGTCGTCGACGGGGAACGACATTTTATCGGACGATGACAAACAACGGCGTTTCGGCCGTCGTAACAAGATAATCGAGCATCGTATATAATATAATAAAAACATGTCGACGGGCGGTCCCGGTGCAGTGTATCTGGTACCACGTCAAAACCGCATCAGGGCGCGCACTCACTCATACACACGCACACACACTCTATCAAACGCTATTTAGTATTTATATTCATATATGTACTAGTAATGATAATAACAATAATAATATAATCGGACATGGTTTCTATATTATATTGTGCAACGAGCTTTCATCGGGAATATAATATATTTCCGTTTCGCCTGGTTTTCGAGTATGGTTCATACACCGCAACCGCTGTAACAGTACTCGTCTTCTGCACGTCAGTTGCATATTTTTTTCGTCAAACGTCCTCTCTGGTGGCGGCAGCGACAACGGACATCCGATCACCACATTCTATAATATAATATTATGCTATGGTATCACTGCCGTGGGATATCGTCATCGTATACGACGCCGGAAGAGAATAATAATATTAATATACCGACTGATGGGTATATATACTTGGCAGATTTTGGCAGGAAACACGACCGCGGTTATGGTATTATAATATACATAATGTACACGGTATACCTATATAATATAATACACGGTGTACGTGGCTGCGGGTCGGAGGATGTCAAGATATATTCGCACGCACTCGTGACGACAAAGACGGCGGCGGTGTTTATAAATATTTCTCTTTTTCTTTTATTATATACTCTTCCCCTCTTGGTTTTTATTTTTTATTTTTATTTCTCTCCTCCGATCCGTCATTGTCTTTGCGCACTGGCGTCTATTATACACACGCACAAACTCGCGAGAGCTCGCGATACAGGCAATTATTATTAGGTATTATATTATAGTGTGTGTGTGTGTGTGTGTGTGCAGTACGTACCTATACATATGCGGTCGTGTAAACGGGACCACACGGCGAGTTGTTTAAAAACTATATATATTATCATATTGTATGAGCGACACTGTTTGTTACGAGACTCGGCCGGTGATAGCGATCGACGCCGTGAAAAATATAGATAGATAGGCGAGATCGAAAAAAAATAAACTTTAATGTGGTACGATGATTTCGGTCTCGGTCTTGACTTCTGTGCATATTTTCTCCAATTAGTCCGTCGCCGCCGGCCCTCGAGCGTGGTGGCCGGAGGGTCACAGCATCCCCGCGCGTTCAATTCACCGCATCGCGCGTCGACTAATTGCGCGTGTTTAAATATACATATAAGAGCTCTCCCCTCACCCGCTCACTAAACGTCATATTATTATTATATTATTACTTCTATCAACATCGTCAGCTTCATCGTCATTTGATTACAATCATCGTCGAGTATATATTTTTACACCCAGCGATGATGACGCATGTGCGTTAATATATATAAATAATAGGTATACAGTCGAGTCTTGCATGTGCTCGCGGTCGATTTAAGACGAGTATATTATAAAGGGTGAAAAAAACGCGAAACCGAACGGGTCATTAAATGGTCTAGTTTATAAATCGGCGGTACACGCGTAGTTATATTTATACTTCTTACGAGGTACGTGGTTACATATTGTAAATACCGTACGCCGAAACGGGTGGTTCGCTGCCGCCTGTAATGTCGGTTGGCAAAGGAAAAAAGGGAACGACACCGGCCCCGAGGGTGTGTATATACATATTATATGCGCCTAAATGCGTTTCGGAAGTCGTCGGTGTAAAGCGCCAAAAACCCTCTCGGCGTGGTTTGCTGCACGATATTATTATTATTATCATCATCATCATCATAATGTGCGCTTATATACAAACGACAGGGTTGGCGCCGGACAAACGGACGCGACGACGACGACAATAACGACGGGGCATGGGTGTATTTAGGTGAACCTATATAATGAAAGGGTAGTTTTTGTGCAGAGCGAATAAAGGACGCAGAAAACTCGCGATTATAATATACAATATAGGTACTAATATCACGTGTATTGTGTACATATAACGGAGCGGTACGAAGTAAATGTGAAATGCACGAACGTTAAATAAAATATTCAATTATCTTAGTTTTTGAATATATATGGACAGGGGTATTATGTTTATTTACAGTGGACCGTTTTCGTCAACATTCTTACTGATGAAATAAAAAAATCTATTGGAGTTCAAAAAATAAAGAAAAAACAATGAGACATAAAAATAAACGCGTGCGCCAGCCATCGTCGTTATGTACCCATAATGGCAATACGTTATAGTACACAAGTATCTCGAGAAAGCTGTGATCTGGCGGCGCTGCAGCTGCAGGTCATATATATGTACAATAATAATACATATAGTGTACGAAGCAGTTTGTTATATACTTTATATACCTATATATACTCGTACACGGCACGTCGATTGCGCATTGTATACGCCGAGGTGCAGGAAAATAAAATACGTTTTCTGTACTTACGTTGTGCAGTTTGTAGTAGAGACCGCAAGCGTTGCAAACGGGTTCGCCGTTTTGGTTTCTCCTCCACAGCGTCGTGGTGGACGTTTTGCAATTCGCACAGCTCGTCCCGGCTCTACGCGCAGCTGATTGCAAGGACTGTAAACCAATACAAAAAACAATCGGATTAGTTATCTTTTATATATTATTTACTATGTATTATTATAATATGCTAATGTGCTAAAGAACGTCGGACAGAGCAAAATAAATAAATTAAAAAATGCTCGACGAGGTAAAATCGTTATGGAGGTTCGGGCACGAACACATTGGTAACGGGTTATATTATTTCGATGTATAGGCAGTGGCGTCATGAACATTTTATTCCGAATAAGGGAAAATATTGAAGCTATTCACACAAAGAATTAAAACCTGCATGTGTTTGATTTTTTTTTATTATAAAATAAATGTTGATATTATTTTACAATATCAATTATTGTGTAGGTAACTTATACATTTCACTAATCAATACGGATTCAATATAATATTATGTTAACATTTCCTCTATTATTACATACAGCATTTGAGCATTATACAGAATGCGCTCTGTTATCTATGAGCTGACTTTAAAGAGAAAACAGTAAAATATTATATACCTATTGTATAATTTAATAATGTCAATTTATCAAATTGAATTAAAATCTGCAACATGTTAGTATATTACATATTCAATTATGATACCTAGTCAAATATAAAGATAAATTTACACCCCAACAAAGTTACCCACTCATCTAAAATTGTTGGTTTCAATTGCTCCGACAAAATATGTTCGGGACTTCAATGGATATATAGAGGTATACGTACAAAGTACGGAGCGCGTCGGGATTTCGAAATAATGAATAGAACCTAGAGGCGTTGTATGGCCACGCCAACAATATTGAATATTAAATAATAATGTCGTCAGATTGCGGGATCAAATATTTCGCAATATCGATATCAACGACGATTTTGCCGAGCCAAAAACGCTTTGAATACCTTTTTTTAATTATTAAACGAGCGTGCGATTCGAACGACTCTATGGCGTGTGTACACACACCACAAAATAATGGCATAGCAATAATAATATAATATTATTGTTCGTCGTGTACTTACACATTATACACGTTATGGCGCGCGTAATACGCGTGCCCTTCATAAATACTTCACGTGCACAATAGTAGGTACTTACCAATATATATATATATATATATACATGTAAGTACCTGCAGTAGTTAGTTAACGTATATACATACATATTGTCGTATATACTAAACATTACCTATATATATATATTATATTATAATACACGCGCCGCCCGGTAGTTATGATAATTAACAAAGGTTGTAAGTCGAAAAGATTTCTTCTCGTCCGGACTATTGTATCAATTAGGCCTCGCGTGGTATGTTTATATTCGAATTAAAAACATTCCACTGCATTAGCATAATATAATTCTGTGCGCGTTGTAAGCTGTCGTCCGTTCGAAATGTATAACGGCTACTGCGGCATAGGTCTGACTGTCTGAGGGTACACATATTATACCGCCGCGCGGCATGCAGTAGATACCTACTACCTACAGAATATTATTATGTATAATATAGGCAGGTATGCCTAGTTAATTTAGTATGAACGTCTCGAAATATTTTTGAAAACAAAAAAAATTGAATGTTTTTAATCATTTCCATTTTTCTTTTTTTTATATTATATTGCCGCTCCACCGTTTGCCGGATGCATTTTAACGTCTGCAGCCGAAAAAAAAATGTGTTGTACAATGAATTCGTGCGCGGTGGTAACATTTAGACCCGTTTTCTCGAGACAAACACGAACAATAATCCCCGCCCTTTTCCTGTAATTACCGTTTTATTTAATTAGTCGTTATATGAGTTTCCAGGTGTTTTGACCTCATCGCGCGGGTAATGATTGTATGACCAAAAAAAAAAAAATGACAACTATATAATAAATATATTATAGGTATTTAACAACATACCATAACATTATAACCTATGACGAGACGAAAAATTCAAATATTTAATTCCGTCGAATAAAGTAAAACGCTTAAGTATTAAAAATACTGGTGCCTTGGAGTACTGGCATACACACAGTAAATCGATACCACTATACCTGTATAATATATTCGACGTATACATAAGATATATATATATATTTATGTATAAATATAATATGTGCATTGTACACGGTTAAAACGTAAAATCGCTAAGTGGTATGAGAAAAAAAAATCACGTATTAAATATACGATAGGTGTCGAATTTCACAACAAATGTCATTCAAAAATAAATTCGTTTATAATATACGCACTCGACTACACAGCTTACACATATACATATATATATATATTATTTCTCGTTAGTCCTAAAAGGTTTTAAGCTATTGAAATATTTTTATATAGTGAAGACATATTAAAGTATTACAATGTAGGTACATAAAGCGTCCATTAAACGCGTCGATTTGGCGTGCATGCATCACGGAACGACGCCACCTTTTATATTAGGTACCCATAGGTGGGTACGTTTTATAAGATATATATAGTATGTATATACTAGGTAGTAGTATATACTGTATATGATGGCTTTTTATTTTTCAAACCCCGCCGACCCTAAATTGAAGGAACATCTCGGGAAACGTCGGAAGGATTGAATAGAGAGTTTTACGATTCAAACTATATACAATAGCTTTATTAATAGAAAATAAAATAAATTCTGCGTGGAATATTGGCGAACGGCGGCGATAAGACCCATGGCCAGGTAGGTGGATATATTATAATAGTACGTGTATAATTCAAAAATATATGGAACGGATACACACAGAATGGTTCTTTTGTAACGATCACGAATCATGAAACTACGACAGCTTATAATAGTCTACATCGATGATTTGTTTTCCTTTTCAAAAGAAATCAAACAGGCCTTTTATTTCCACTCTACATCCGTAGCACGAGTCCCTGATCACGTATGCACCGTTTCAATAAACAGGTAGCTCTGGGGAAAATACCATATCATCGTTACCGGCAATCGAATGTTTAGATCACCCTGTATTTTATATTATACAGTCCAGTTTACAAAATATTTTTATTGCCCAGCGAACAAAGTATCTAAATATATATCTCGCATATACATTATAATAATATAATATGTAATAGACCGCGGTATAGTGACGCAGTTTTTTTTCCTTCAAATAATATATAATATAAAAGTTTGTCCATTGTTCTAAACTGCAGTAGGTCTCTCCGCTAGCGAACATTATATATCGTATATATACATATACAGATATTATTATAAGACATTAGTCGTTCGGAACGAGCGCAAAAAAAAATTCTAAACAAGCCTATTGTTTGACGAAAATCGCGTTCGGCACTCGTATAATAATAATAATAATAATAAAATTATACAACGCTTCATGTTTAGGCGCGCACATATTATTTCCACGAGGCCCATAATGATAAAGATAATAATAATGATACTAGCTACGGATATTTCAAACAATCAAACGGTTATTCTGCCGTGGTGCAGTAAGTTGTGTAACGATTTCATGATCCGTTTTCGGGTCTGCTTCCGCTGTCGCGAGATTGATTTCTCCGGCGCAGGAATTCCACGGGCGCCGCCGACAACATAATAATATTGTAATATACTATAGGTACCTCCTCCGTATATAACACGCTGCTGCACATATCATATACCCACGTCTAATGCGGCGGCGGCTACTTATACCGTTTTTCGAGTATACTATACATATACGTCACGGACAGCGTAGGCATACATAACCGATCGCGCGGACGAAACGACTTGTCCAGTTGTCAATATTATAATAATAATTTATGTACGTGAACCGGACGTCAAGCGAACTCGCACAGTGTGCACCAATAATCGGATCGGTGTTGGACGACAGCGAGCACCGAAAACGGTCGTCCGTAGGTATGTACTATTATCTATATATGTATATATATATACAATATACACCTATGTATTTAAGCAGTGAATTTATAAATATATACTATACATATATACTGTCTATCTTCGGGTACGAGACTTGGGCCAACGAGTCCATTAGAGGCCCTCGAGAGACGTAGGCGTGTGCGCGCTGTGTAAACGCATCATATACATACTATATATCTTTGTATATATATACAACACAACCCCGCTGTACGGGGCCGATAAAAATAATATCAAATAATAACATTATACGTCGCGTTCGTATCGTCCAATTTGTGACTCGTCATTTTATATTTATTTTTTTTCGTTTTCTTTTATTTTCCTCCTTTCCTATTATGTACCACGCGCGAGAGATATCCGTAAACGGCACGTCAATATCATAATATCTTATAAGGTCCTCGGCGCGCGTGTATAATCCGACACGATAATAATATTGTGTTCGCCGATCCAATCATTTGATAAGTGCGCTGGTATTTTGATAAATGGACACACGACGGTGCGTGCGTGGCTGCTGAGACGCATCGGCGGCGGTATGGAATAATAATAATAATAATAATAATAATATAATAACAACATGTGATATTCAATTTTCGGGATTTGATACGTGCACAAAATTGTACGCGGCATAATAACATAATACATAATATATTACTCATATTTACCGCCACCGGTAACCGCGGTACAGCGCCGGTATATTTACAATATTATGCGTGTTCTACGGCTTCGATTATAAAGTATATGATGTTAATATTATAATCATAACTAATTGTGTGACGCGGAATGATGAAATATAGATTAATAGTAATTATTATACCAACTGGTTAGTATTGCATGCGCCGGAAAGCGGAATATTCTTCGGAAATCATTAAGTCTCTTGTCGTCAACGATAATAATATACGGTGTAATTACTCGAGACGTGCGAGCTGCACTAATTACCGTGAGATTTTGTCGTTAATCGAGACGCGGTGTTATTGTTTTCCTACGCGTCCGGTTAATCGTCGACGATTGAGAGTCATCGGAGAAAGGTTAGGTTAGGTGCCTACTGACAATAGGTACTATATAGTATATCACAGTGGAACTGAAAAGCGTGACAATTTCCATACGACTAATTTACATACCTATACGGGTTTTATATCATCAAATTTAAATTATTATCAGAGGCGACATCGCGGATGAAAA